GCAATTCTAAGAACTGTATGTATATGTTAAAATGTATAGTATGTTGTGAATGTTACATTGGCCGAACTGGAAATTTAAGATATGGAATAAATCAACATAAGTATCATGTTAAAAACCCAAGTCAGAGTCCATTAAGATCCTCTGAACATTTTTTAGCCGCGGCATAGCGGCTCATTGAACGGCTCTGAGTTTGTTTGTTTTTTTCAAGTACAAACTTTTAGCTCATAGTTCCATCATCTCTTGACTGATGTAATTACAGTTTTGGACTCAGGATATATTTAACGTTGCACAAGGTCTCATAGATTAATTTACTCTAATCCTACCCCAAATATTTCAATTTGAGGGTACGCTGGTAGAGATCCTGATGAGTAATAAAATCGAATCGGTTATACGTGCACTCCACGCTTGGTATTGTTGACGCACAAAATATAGCGAACAAAAAGGAAAAAAAGGTCTCATAGATTAATTTACTCTAATCATACCTGAAATAATTTTAAGTGCCGCGGCTATTGAGGGTTCTCTCTTGTTTTCTATCTAATTACTCGTAGCAAGGAAGATGTGAAATCAGGCGAATCTGTTAGTAGTTGTTTACAAATCCTTATGACTGAGAAAAGGGGCATTTTTGAGGTAGGGGTTTGAGCCTCCCTCCATCGAAACCCGCTGGGCATGTCATTGAACACTATGTTTCCTTCTTTAGAAGTTTTCTCTAGAAATCTACAAAGAATATTCAAACAATATAAAGTCAGAACATAATTCAGAAGTAGCAACATAATACGATCTCAGTTAGTGCAAACCAAACCTTCTCGAATACAGCTTCCAATGCAGTGAATAGATAAACAAAAACCCAACAAAAATCAGAGTTCTAAAGCGTAATAGAAACAAAAACTTATAACACCGATCTATCTGCAATAGTCCATCATGGCAGAGAAAAAGTCCAAACACTGATATGAAACAAGTACTAACATAATGTGATAAAATGTATTAGTTTGTTTGTTGTTAAGCGTAAAGCTACATTACAGGCTATCTGTGCTGTGCTCACCACAGGTATCGAAACTCGGTTTTTATCGTTATAAGCCCACCGACTTGGATACGTCTCTTAATTAAAATTATCTGCGTATAAAAAAGTTAAATACAAAAAATTCTCATTGTTTGAAGTAGAATCGAGTAATTATTCTTTAAGTTTTTACATATAAATAAATATCTGAATCCAGTTTATATGACAGTAAAAACTGCTTTGGTTGAAAATTTTCAAAATAGTAATTTTAATGACAACGACCACTCAAAAATTTGTTACCAGTAGCGTAAATATGCCCTCACAATTGTGAGGGGGGGAGTTAAAAGTAGGCCCGAAGGGCTTGAGAAATTTAAAAACTGCCGAAAAGGGGAATAAATGTGGGGGGGGGGGGTCATCTTTTGTTGTTACGTCACTGACTGTAGCGTTGGTTTGAATTATAACTCTTATTTTGTCCAAGTAAGTAAATGTGTTACATTTTGAACACAACACATGGATTTATCTTTAGCAGATAATATTAAAGTTATACGATAATCATTAAATTTTACATACATATATATATACATACAGGGTGGATCAAATGTTTGTTTGTTTGTTACGGATTTCGCGCAAAGCTACACGAGGGCTATCTGCGCTAGTTGTCCCTAATTTAGCAGTGTAAGACTAGAGGGAAGGCAGCTAGTCATCACCACCCACCGCCAACTCTTGGGCTACTCTTTTACCAACGAATAGTGGGATTGACCGTTACATTATAACGCCCCCACGGCTGAAAGGGGGAGCATGTTTGGTGTGACAGGGATTCGAACCCGCGACCCTCAGATTGCGAGTAGAGTGCCCTAACCACCTGGCCGTGCCGGGCCAGGACCAAATGTTCCTATACAGTTGTTTCGTTTAAAACATAACTTAATTCTTTTTTTTAAAAAACAAACAATAATTAAATTCCTTTCAATTCTCTTCGTAATATTTATTTAATACAACCCGTATAATACTAACCTTACCAACAGTATTGTAAGTTTTATACCACCTTGTATATTTCGATACTCGTCAAGGCTTCGCTTGTTTGAATGATAATTTTAGAGATCACATGCCTTGCTGTTGTTGTCCTTGATTGGATGACCTTTCTCCCCATTATGTCTTTTATCAATACCAGGGCCTCTAAACCTGTATCTGTAGTCAAGAAGGGCGTGTGTTTGTGTGTCTCAGGTTATCCACTAACGTTAGGTTTCATGTCTACTCACTGAAAATGTTCAAATATATGATTCGGATTAGACATTTATATAGCAAGTTGTAGTGTCTTTAAATAACATCATAAGAATACAAAACATAAATTATTTAATGTATAAGTTTGGCATGCGATATTTCTCATCAAATTAAACATGACGTTAACTACGTGTTCAAGGTTAGGGTGGCTACCTGCTCTCACGGGGATATCTCTAGCATGCGGAGGCCTTGTCGCTTACATCATTGCAGTTCTTCGTGGGGATGTAACCCCTTACATGCCATTTATCAGGTAACTTAGGAGGAAATATTATAATATCTTTATATTTATTAATTTATAAGAACTGTAGTAAAGGTTCAAGGAAAGTGATACCTTTTTTTGTTTGTAATTAAGCACAAAGCTACACAATGGGCTATCTGTACTCTGCCCACCACGGGTATCGAAACCCGGATTCTAGCGTTGTAAGTCCACGGACATACCGCCGTGCTACTGGGGGGCAAAAGTGATAATATCACGTTAGATATAATTAATTCAACTAAGAGCTACAGTCGGTAGATGTCGCCACCATCTCTAATTAAAAATAAACTAAATATAAAGTCTCCAAACAGATGGTAATATTTCTAAACCTCTGGGTCAACTCTGTATGAAACGATGCCTAGTTTTACGTGTTTCTGTTCATACTTCTTTTTTAGTAAGTTTATTTTAAACACATGATTTGGAATGATCCCTCAGTTTTTTGCTTTCAAAACAAGGTATTATTATTATTATTATATACTGAAGTGTTTATATACCTGTTATACACACAGATTATGCACTATTACCCAACTCATACTGGTACTGGAAAAACTTTCTCCATCATTATCTGGTTTCACTATGATGGCCATGATTATGTACTATTACCCAACTTGTACTGTTACTGGAAGAACTTGCTCCGTCATTATCTGGTTTCAGTATGATGACCATGATTATGCACTATTACCCAACTCGTACTGTTACTGGAAGAACTTCCTCCATCATTATCTGGTTTCAGTATGATGGCCATGGTTATGCACTATTACCCAACACCAAAATTTCCATTGTGACCACCTTCTGTGAAAGACGACGAGGGTCAATCTTGGACCACTCACTTTGACAAACTTACTACAGACTCTCTTCTGACCAAAGCACAAAATCCATTGGAGTTGCATCAGGACACTTGACAGATATATGGTCCAATGGAATAGCTCTGGTTGGAGATGCACCAGGAGACTTGACAGGTGTATAGTCGAATGGAATAGCTCTGGTTGGAGCTGCACCAGGAGACTTGACAGGTGTACGGTCGAATGGAATAGCTCTGGTTGGAGCTGCACCAGGAGACTTG